GTGCCTTGTACCTGTTCATGGATTCTTGTTTTTCAGCTTTTGTGAATAAAGCTCGCCTTTTGTTCCATTTTGAAACCTGCTTCCCTCCTCATTCTGCATTTGGGTCCTATTTTTCCCCAACTCTGACAGATCTGTCAGGGTTGGGGAAAAATAGGTGAACACAATCAGACAATTAGACACACCAGGGACACTAACAACAGGGAGGACAGAACAGCAAAATAACCCCAAAACTAGACACACAAAAACTCAAAATGGAACAAAAGGCGAGCTTTATTCACAAAAGCTGAAAAACAAGAATCCATGAACAGGTTCAAGGCACGAGGTGGCATCCAAAACAAAAAGGGACTGTGACCAACATGAAGGGAGACATGACATGAACGACAAATAATGAACCAACACTGAACACAGGAAGAGACTAAATACAGGGAGGGGTAATCACGAGACGAGAAACAGCCGGGCAGGGGAGGAGAAACACAAGGGCAACAGGTGAACACAATCAGACAACTAGACACAGGGACACTAACGACAGGGAGGACAGAACAGCAAAATAACCCCACAACTAGACACACAAAAACTCAAACCCTGACACACCCATATTATTGAATAATGGTTTGGTCGTACTGCGTGGAGTCAGTAATAGTCAACCTTACCTTAGCATTAGTTCTTATGCTCCCCACAAATGGAACAAACCTCCAGAAACCCGAGGTCTTCACCAGCGAGTTCTTTTTAAGTCAAGCGAAAAACACAACTTTTTACAGCTGCTTACCCAGAAGCCTTTTCACTTGTTTTAGCACCAACTGTATTTACAATGTTGTTTTTAAACTATTCTGCATCTCTTTTATGCATGGATTTTATTCATCTGTTATTCCATTAAGTGTATTTATTGTGTTCCTTTCTGTTGTCTTCTTCTTAGTGTTAATGATGGTGTAAAGCACTTTGAATTGCCTGTGCTGTATAAATACACGTACCTTACCTTATCAATATGTATGTATTTCTTCCACACAGCCCTAGTTCATAAGATTAAAGGGTTGGGATGGAAAACAATAATTTACACTGATCAAAGCTTTATGAATAAGTCATATTATTGCTAATGCTGAAATGAAATACTGTGTACCCTAAAGTATCTATACATGCTGGTCTGAGCTTCTTTCCACTTTACATATTAAGACGAAAGTGTTTGCAGATTTGAGGCAACAGTAAGCAAAGCAATATCCATTAAAGTAATAAATTTCATACGTTTATTTTATATTCTGTTGTACTTTCCATATACAGCCTTTATGGTTAGGTCTGTCAAGCCTGGAAGGAGGATGTCCCCTCCTGTTGCCCCCCTTTTCTCCCCTATACAGTCAATGTTGGTACTCTGACATCTGAATGAATGAATGCTCAAAGAACAGCAGTGTCAAAAGTTGTTGGGCAAATATTATGTGGTTATAATCGACTTGAATTCTCCCATTTTGTTTTGCAGAGCGCTGACCTTTATCCAACACCTCTGGGATGAACTGGAACGACATGTGACCCGACATGATGCTCCTGCTCCTGAATATAAAGACTGAAGTCCAGGCGGTTACAGCAGCAGATACCTTTTAGTTGATACATTTAGTTGTGCACATGCCTTTAAACATGTCCCGTTATCTTTCCACGACTGAATAAATCTAATTTAATGTTCCCATGTTGCTGTGTGCTTTGTGTGTGTGGGTGTGCACTGTCTTTCTAGAACTTATTAAAGAAGACGAATGGGTTTGTTTGTTGGTGTTTTGTGATAAATGTTGTGGTGCTGAACGGACAGCTCCATTAACCACCCTGCACTTCTTTGTATTGGATTTTAAAACACTGCCCCCCCCCACACCCCCCCCAACCCCCCACACCCCTCTGTGTTCCTCTTTATATCTCAGATCAGATAACCTGCACTCAGTCTCTTTCTCAATAGTGGAAGAAGTATTCAGATCCTGAGTAAAAGTACCAATACATAATGTCAAAATACTCCATGTTTTACTAAAAGTCCTGCCATTTAAAGTATAATAAGTAAAAGTACTGCCTCCATATGTGCATACTTATATTATTATGTTCATTTTGGTGTAACAAAGCTCAGCTATTTTTGCACAAATGATTCCCCATTTTCTCAACTTTTCATTTCATTATTTTACCTTTCTTTGTGTACCTTAAACATTGGTTACATCTTTATATATATAGTTAATCATGTTTCCTGAATGTTAATGAATCTGAAAAGTAACTAGCTTTAAAGTATCTGCAGTGGAGGTTTAAAGTAAATGGAAATACTCATGGAAAGTACAATTACCTTCAGTAACTAGAGTAAACATAAACATAATGTCAAAATACTTAATTTTGAAGTTAAAGTCCTGCATTCAAATTCCTACTTCATTAAGTATCAGCAATAGCAATATAGAAAGTCAAAGTAGTAACTCTGCAAAATAAATGCCTCCATGCATAATTATATTATTATATGTATTTTGGTGTACATTACTTTTTACATTACATTGCATTTAGCTGACGCTGTTATCCAAAGCGAGTTACAATAAGTAGACTTTCGTAGACACAGGTATTTTTGCACAAATGATTCACCACTTTCCTAACTTTTCATGATATATTTGATCATTTTACCTTTTTTTCTTTACCTTAAGCAGTGGTTCAATCTTTATATCTTAAGTTAATCACGTTTCCTTAATGCTAAATATGAATACGAAAAGTAACTGTATCTGAAGTGGAGGAATGAAGTAGCATTACATTTAAATACTCATGGAAAATACAAGCATAAGACTGTTAAACACCTGAACTTTTGAAAGAACATCCATAACATTCATCTGTTTGCAACTTATATATCAATATTCCAGTTACTTGTATATAGACTATTTCTATTATATTATATGTTATTTACTTGCAATATTGTATCTGTGTTATTGTGTTGCACTGTTGGAGGAGCTGTGACCTAATATTGTCACTACACTATGCACACATGACAATAAAAGCCTTGCATCTTGAAAAAATACGTAAACGTTTAACGATCGTTTTAAAAGTCAAAAATACTAAACATGTCGAGAATCTTGAATCTTGAAAGTACCGCGAGAAATATCAGACAAATGTGCTTTCTTACCTGCTCTGGTCCCAGTTGGCAGCGAACAGAACCAGAATCTTCCTCCCGTACCGGTCCAGGTTGGACAGCACTCCGGGGAACCCGTCCTTCAGGGCCTGCTTGATGCCCGGGTCTGTCGCCTTCAGGTTCTTGAACATGTCCAGGTTCTGCTGCCGGTACTCGAAGTACTGAGCCAGCAGCCGAAACGCCTCGAAGTGGTTGAATTTCCTGGCGCGGAGGAACCTGAGGATGAACGCGTCGTCCGTCCGGAGGAACCCGATGTCCGGCCGGGTGATGATCATGTCCCGGACCTCCTGGATGTCCTGGTGGAGGGTCTCCGGGTTCTCCTTCAGCTCCACCTTCGCCTTCTCCAGGGTCTCCACGGAGAGGCCAGCCTGTAAGTGAGTCATCTTTGTGGCAACAGCTGGGTGAAACACCAGCATAAAAAAGCAGCAACAGTTTCCTTCTTCTTCTTCTCCTTCTCCTTCTTTCTGGTTTCAGATGGAGGCCTGCTGCTCTGTAATCCACCCTGAACTCATATGATGCATTCTCACTTTTACGCACAGATATTTTTTGTATTCCACCTTTTCCAAAGATCTGTATTGTTTTGATCCAGCATGCATATCATGACTCCTGCAGCTTCAGGCGGAGCATCCAACCTGCTGATCGGGGCGGCCTGATCTCACACCGCCCTCCTCCTCCATCACTCTGTCTCTCTATGTCTCTCTGTGGCAAAATGACGACGACAGCATCACCGTGTCCTCCGGCGTCGCTCGCGGCGGCCAGGAAATGCGGCACGAGCCTGTTAAAACACCTGCTAAATCTCCACCATGCAGTCTGAGATCACCGACACCACCATGCCTCCGCCTTCTACTCCATCTCCATCCGCCGACTAATGCTGATGCTTCTGCTCCGAAACCGTCAAAAAACGATCTGCTTCTCTCCGCGTCTCCCCAGCAACATGCACAATGTATAGGTGTGATTTCAGATTAAAAACCACCGGGATTTTTTAATTTGTTTTACATCCAGCAGCACAGGTGTCCCGCGAGGTTTAGCCACCGGTTTCTGGGTTTTTTTGAAAAAAAAGAAGAGAGAGGTGGGGTGGAGTCAAATGGGTGGAGGAGGGAGGGAGTGGGGGGGATTACCGTCTCCAGTCCGCCGTCTGCTCGCAGGGAAAGTGACTGACAACAAGGGAGGGGGGGGAAGGGAGGGAGGAAGAGGAGGAGGAGGGGGTGGAGTGTAAAGAGATGAAAAGGCAACAGATATGAAGGAACGGTTGCAGGAAGAGAGGGCGAGGTGCTGGATAGATGGAGCTAAAAAAAGAAGAAAGTGGAGGAAGGATGCTGAAAAGAGGATAGACAGATGTGAAGAAGAGGAGGGGGTTTAAGATGAAGGGTGGAGGGATGAAGATGGGGGAGGAATGGATGCCTGAGGTTAAATAAGGGGCCTCAATTTCACCCTTTTCCCTTCATCCATTCTCCCTTAAAGGGACCATATGTTCGCAGGTTTTTAAGCTTTTAAATCATGCACACATTTTTGCATGACCTTTTTAAACGGTACGCATTGGTGGATTGTGTGAAAATGGGCCCCTGGGCATCAACATGCAAAAAGGCCCCTCGTCACCTCTCCTGTCGTGAGTCTCTTTATGGTTTTGTTTTTTTCTTTCTGTCTCTTTGTGGTCATTATGAGTCTCTTCCTTGTTGGTACGCGTCTCTCCCAAAGTGGCATAGGTGAACTTCAGACACTTGAGGGCCCTGTTCATGCTCTCTTGAGGCTTCTTGAGATGTCCTTTTATTGTTGGATTAAGGTGTTTTTGTAGTCTGATATTTCATCAGTAAGTAAGGGAATATGGACATAATGAAGACATCCTTTACTCTTAATTGGAACATATAGTGTACGATCTGTAATTAACTGTAGAAACATTACAACAGATTTGCAGGTCAAATCACATTTAGACTAAAACATATTTCAGATGTGTGGGATTTAAGACGCACTATAATGTTCATTTTCATTTCAGTATGTAGTGTCTCTACTTTAAAGAGTCCTCTCCTGCTGATGTTCAGGTGTATATCAGTATGTAGTGTCTCTACTTTAAAGAGTCCTCTCCTGCTGATGTTCAGGTGTATATCAGTATGTAGTGTCTCTACTGGGACATGTCTCCATCCTTTAATCTTCAAAAAGCTCTTTATTGTTCTCATACTGCCTGTGCTGCAGCTCCTCTTTTCACCCTCTGTCTGAAACCAGAGCCCAGTCTGCTCTGATTGGTTAGCTGGCCGGCTCTGTTGTGATTGGTCATCCACTTAGAGATGTCCCGCCCCTTAGCCTATCACGTACAATGTGTTGGAGCGCTAGCCAATATGGAGCACACAGGTGCTTCTCAATATCGAGGGCGCCTCCTTGGTAGGACATGTCTTCCGAGTCACTTCCTTCAGAAGCGAGGCAAGAATCCTTCCTAGCCTCGGAAAACGAAGAATAGGTGTGCTGGTGTGCGTCCTATGAGAGGCCCCGCCTAAATGGAGCGTGATTTCCGCCAAAGATTTGGAAATTGGTCCGTGCGCAAAGCATTGTGGGAATTTGACCGCGGAGGATACGCATGTGCAGCCTCGAAATGTCTCGCTACGAAGGACGCCGGGCTCGGTAGAATTCCAAGGAGCCTGGACATTGGAACAGTCCTTCGGCGGCACTCGATAGCATCCTTGAAACAGTGGCTCTGGAGCATCCTTCCTTGACATTGAGAAACACCTCAAGTGTTACAGAGTGATGTCACTACTTTTACAGAAGTAAACAAAGATTCCATTGGAGGCGATCACAGGGATTTTAGCCTTAGCAGACCATTTACATTAAAACCTATAGAACACAGTGAAAACCAGAAAAAGCATAGCAGGGCCTCTTTACTTGTGCTTACTTTTCTTTATTAGTCATGTCTCTTTTGCTCTTCTACAGATATTAAATGTGTACCTTTAACGGCCTCATCAACCTGAATGTTTGCAGACAAGATTTGGCTTGTTATCTTTCATCTGTTTAGCACATGCTCTTAGGGTCAATGTTCAATGGCCAAGTCTATGTTTTTGTTTGGTGTAAAGTCTTCCTCTGGGCGGAGACGGGGGGACAAAGTAACAAAAGAGATGTTGCAGGGATGTGGTGAAAGAGGAGGTGGAGAGTACATCTGCAGGGACGGACCCTCACCCTCACCCTGAATTAACTGAGTGAGATCATAATTCTTACAGCAAAGCGGTGCAACACTTACTCTGAGGATTTATTACAGGCAGTCAGATAAAGTGCAGCGACATGGATGAATGGGTGGAGGCGGGTGGGGGGGACAGGCAGCTGCACTTAAACATGCTGAATTAATGTCCTTTGTCCACGCCCCCTCTTATCTCCCCGCAGCTTCACTGGGTCTGCATTCCCTGCAGTTTCATACATCAATACAGTCCGACTAGAAACACAAAGAGTCATCATTTTCTAAAAGTACAAAAAAAATGGAGAAATATTTCCTGAAGAGACTCTTAATGTTTTATTAGGAGTTTTTAAAACACTTTTAATTTTATTTAGTTACCGCTGAAACCTTTTTTACTTTGTTTTTATTTAATTATTAATATTTAATTTCAAGATAAATCATGTTTTTCAAACATTTTTCTTGTAAAACCATCATTATAATTAAGGTAAAGAGACACATTTGCTAGGCACACAATTGTTGATTAGAAATGTAAAATATGAAAAATAATAAAAAGGAATAGTTATTTAAATAGGACCTTTCATAAAATATAATACTATAACATAAAAATATATAATAATAATAATATAAAATGCAGCTAAAAGTGCATTCAAAGAAAATAATATATAAATAATAATCAACACATCGAATTAAAAAGCATAAAGAAAGTAAAACAAATGTTAAAGCCAGAGCTGCAAAAGGTACAATTATGTTAAAATTAAAAGTTAATTTAGTTAATCAGTATCAGACTCAGATTAGAGAAGTGATGCCTTTAGAGTGCAGGGAATACAATTCAACATTAATTTAAGTTAACCATTTTCCTATGAAACTAATCACAAAATCAAAGCATTATTTGACGCTCTGATTTCTATAATACTTACTTTTCTTTTTTCTCATACAGTTTTCTCAGTAATTCAAAAACACATAAAGTCCATTCCTCCTCTCTAAACACATCTAGGCCGGGTATGATCTTTTTAAAGTTATTTTAAATACAAAAAAATGTTGAATATTATAAATAAAGCCACCCATTCACTTTGTGTCTGTTGCTTTGTCAGAGGGGGTGGGGTATGGGGCGAACCCTGAGTAAAAGGGGGAGTAACAGGGTCCCAGGGGAGATGTGAGAGGGGGGGGTTACATGAATTGCCCTCAGCTCTGATGGGCTTCAGTATGCAGGGGATAAATAAATGGTGGACCTGCAGCTGCCATCTTCTGCAGAGCGTCTCTGATTTATTCTCTGAGCGACTGATTAACAAATCACAAAATGAAATGTAGCAGGAAGAGAGTCAGAGGATCTAAAGAGGCTGAGGCTCTGCTGATCTGCAGCTCAACAGCGACTGACCTGTTTCCACAACATGTGGAATAAAGGTTTGAGAGAAAAGGCCTCCATGTACTGCTACTAGCTCAATCACTCTTATACATGATCAGAGGTGGGAAGTAGTGGAGTACAAATACTTTGTTTCTGTCCTTACGTACATTTTTCTGGTATCAGTACTTTACTCCACTACTTATTTTTCTGACGACTTTTTACTTTGACATCTTACATGTTGAACACAAATACCTGTACTTTCTACTTCTTACATGTTGAACCCAAATACCTGTACTTTCTACTTCTTACATGTTGAACACAAATACCTGTACTTTCTACTTCTTACATGTTGAACACAAATACCTGTACTTTCTACTTCTTACATGTTGAACTCAAATACCTGTACTTTCTACTTCTTACATGTTGAACACAAATACCTGTACTTTCTACTTCTCACATGTTGAACACAAATACCTGTACTTTGTACTTCTTACATGTTGAACACAAATACCTGTACTTTCTACTTCTTACATGTTGAACACAAATACCTGTACTTTCTACTTCTTACATGTTGAACACAAATACCTGTACTTTCTACTTCTTACATGTTGAACTCAAATACCTGTACTTTCTACTTCTTACATGTTGAACTCAAATACCTGTACTTTCTACTTCTTACATTTTCAACTGGCTGG